ACCTGGAGGACTGTGAAGATATTTACTAAGTTATATGCATCTACCCTATGACTACCGGAGATTTAAATATGAGAACAAGTAAGATGTCTTAATTAAAGTGACTCCTGAATGTCATGATACATGATTGAATTTATAAAGGGGAATTAAAGAGATTTTGAACAACTTCCTGGACTACTTAAAGGGAACTGAATGATTAACTATGGGACATAAGGAATTATGATCAATGTATTTTTTGAAGAGCAATTTTAGGCTTGAATATATAGTTCCTGTATTACTGGATAAGAGCAGGACCTATTAAAACAAGACAAGATGCTCCATCAGGGGGAAATGAGTGGAACTTTGGAAGGTATGGTGTTGATGTATCAAAGTATAAAGGACATTATAATAAGAAACCACAAGGAGATCAAGAAAATAATACATGGCAAAGCTGGAAAATATAATACAAGGGACAATGAGCAAAGATCAAGATGCCCAGGAAAGGGAGGAGCCAACAGAAAGAATGGAGGAAAAAATAGACAAACCAGCAAACAAAAGAAGATAAGAGACAACAATAAATATAACAAAATAAAACAAAATAAAACAAGGGGAAAATACTTTAAGAGATTTAAAAAGAAACCTGGAGACGCAGGAAGATATTTTTGAAAGGGAGATAGGGGCATAGGTGGATATTTAGATAGTGGAAGAGGGTAGAGATGGGAGAAATATTTAGATTGAATAGTCAGGATGTGGAGACAGACAGAAACAAAGATCTAAGAGAGGAATATGGGAGGCAAACCAAAAACAAATAAGAATTAAAATACTAGTGCAAACAAGAGATGATAGTTAGAAAGAAACTGTCTTTTAATATAAGGATGGTATGATTAAAATCTAGAATAGAGATAGAAATAAGAAAATGGAGAAATATCAGTATATACACTTTTATATAATAAAATAAAATCAATAATAAGGCAGGAAAATTAGAGATTAAAAGTATTATTATGTATGTTTTAATAATGTGATTGGCATTCGAAGAATATATTGAAACATGGAAACAATTAAATAATGGAATAGCATAACAACATAAATGTGTATTAATATTAGAATTATACTAGTTCGATGAACGTAATGAATATGATTAATATTACTATTGTTTTTTTATTAAAATGAAAGTGAATAAGAATTAAAGTATTAATGTGAATAAGAGATGGAGGGATAGAAAGGAAAATGTTTTTTAAATATAACGGTGACATGATTAAAAATTAGAATGGAGATAGAAATAAGAGGGGGATTATTAATACGCACATTTTATATAATGAGATAAAAGCAATAATTGGAGGGAAGATTAGAAATTGAATAATGAAATTATCATGTATGTCTAAACAATATTGTGATTGGCACTAGAATAATATATTGAAACATTGAATAATTAAATAATGAAAGACTATAACTTAATACATTAGAATTATGTAAGAATGTAACAAATATGATGAATGCTATTATTCTTATTTGCATCAAAATGTATGATGCCCAGGTGCCATGCTGTTCGTGCATTGATGTGTATATGGAAAATAAAATAAAAAACTTGACAAAAAATAGTGGTAACTAGTGAGCAAACACTTAGGAGCCAACAATGTGCTGTAGGTGCCAGAAAAGCCAATGCAGTCCTAGAATGCATCAACAGAGGGAGAGCAGCAAGATCAGGAGAACTAATAGTACTGCTCTCCACTGAACTGGTAAAACCATACTTGGAATATTGCATCCATTTCTGGCCACAATATAAAAAAGATGCTGAGACCTTAGAAATTGTGCAGAGAAGAGCAACAAAGATAATAAGGGGTCTGGAAGCTGAACTGTATGACGAACGGTTAAAAGAACTAGGTATGTCTAGCATATCAAAGAGAAGGATTAAGGCAGAGGTGGTATTCAGCAGGTTCTGACCAGTTCTGGAGAACCGGTAGCGGAAATTTTGAGTAGTTCAGGGAACCTCCAAATCCCACTTCTGACTGGAGATTTTACAGTATCCTTCCCCTGCCACACCCACAGAACTAGTAGTAAAATTTTTTGAATCCCACCACTGGATTAAGGGTGGCATAATACTGGTAGTTGTCTTTGAGTACTTGAAGGGCTGTCAAGAGGGGATTGAATTATTGAATTATGCTCCAAAGCACACGAGGGCAGGCAAGAACTGGAAGATCATCAAAGAGAGAACCAACCTAGAACTAAGGAGAAATTTCCTGACAATGAGTACAGAAAGTTCCAGAAGTTGTGGGTGCTCCATCACCAGAGATTTTCATGAAGAAATTGGACAATCATTTGTCTGGAATAGCATAGGGTCTCCTGCTTGAGAAGAGGATTGGCCTAGAAGATCTCCAAGGTCCTTTCAACCCTGTTATTCTATGATTTATGTTCTAAGTGACAGATTATTAAAAACATACCTATTTTAATAAAGTTAGCCAATTGGAAGTCTCTGAATTGACTTCAGCCCTGTAACAAATTTTTACATGCAAAATAAGGGAGGGGGCAAGATTTCATGTTGTCAGGAATTGAGAAGTAGTCTTCTCCAAGCTAAGCTCAGTTGCCTGCATGAACATATCAAAGTGGTTTTCATTCATAGAGGAGAGCTTTTATCAATGTCTTCTTTCAGGATGTTTTTTTAACTTCCCAGTCTAGCCCAGAGTTCTGTAATTTCCTAATCGTCTCCCATCTAACCACCACCAGGTCCAGCCCACTATAACTTATCAAGATTAGCCAAATAATAGTGTCATTATTACAGTTACTGACCAGCATTTTATACAAATGTAAGAAATTGCAAGGTTCAGAGTAAGACACAAAACATTTTCTAGAAGTTAAATTATATAAAGAGGTTCAGAGAATGAAATATAAACATATAATTTAGCTAGTTAACTACATTATAACATTATTTTATGAGTAAAATATTTACATGTTAGGCATACTAAGCATGCTACCATGTGTGTGAACCTTATGATCCATGAAATATGAGCAATAACAGAAGATATAAAACATAAAATAAGATAGAAGGCTTTTAGTGCCTTCTATTTATTGATATTTATGAAATCGTAAAATTAGGGGACTAATTCACTGCATAAAGCAATGGAGGCTAAATAAATTGTTTCTTTCCTGAATTCTTAGGATTCTGGTCCAACTATAAAAAGCAAACAAGATTATCCTCTGATCAGGTGGAACTTCTATTAGTAAGTGGAGTTATGACACTAGGGTGCAAGTTGCTGAAGCAAGCCCAATGAGGAAACATGTGGACTAGAATCTCTTGTTCCTCTGGATCACGGGGGCAGGCTCATTTTGTCAAAGGAGCATGATTATACTTTCCCCCAGTTCTGCAGAGAGCAAGATATTAAAGTGGACTATGGAAAAAGTTTCACAGTGCATTGGGCAGTTAGTACTGAATAACCAATTTGCTGCATGAACAGTTTCCTGTGTATAATCTGCCAGTATTGATTACCCGATTTACCCTGCTTTGCCCAGAGACCCCTATCAAATACCTGCTGCTGGATTGTCTGTCTAGCAGCTCTTGGTAACCCAATCACTAGAAAGGCTTTACATGAGTAACTGCTCTTGTGTAAAACATTTTGAATCTGCCTTTCCAGAAAAAGGAAACGTTATCCAGAACAACTGTGACAACTCTCTGGAAAAGTGAATCTTAAGCCAGAAATAAAGCTAGCATATATATGTAGGATCCTACCCATAATAATTTTAAAACTTTGTAATGTCATACACATACGGATACTATACCTTCATTCACATATGGGACAAAAGTTTCACTTTTATGAAGTCATAAGTTATCAGCTGTTGAGACTGTTAAACTCATAACAATTTGGGAATAAACCACAATATGAAAAATCAATCCAGGAAAGTTGCTCTCCAGATAAATAGCCTGAGATATTAAATAAATTTACATTCTAATGCAACAGTAAGAGCATAATTGATCTATTGAAATGGATGAGACTTTCATAGTTAGGATTTTAAGACCTTTGCTGAAGATACAGAATTTTCATATTTATTTCTATTCTGAACATGCAAAAAAAAATTTTTTTTTAAGGGAAAAATATTAAGGGAAAAAGGAAGTTACACAGCTTCTACCCTGCTGAGGAACCACGGGAAATACACTATCCTCTCTTTTCATATATTTCATATGTATGTATGTATGGTATTCAGCTTTGTTTGGGTATTTTCCCACGTCATTAATGACGTGGGAAAATACCCGAACAAAACTGAATACCATAAATATAAATGCCCACGAAAACTTAAGAAAAAAAACACACACACTTATCTCTTTTAAATACACTACCCTCTCTTTTCAGCACCACGGAAAGCTGCCTAAAAATAGATCGCCAAAAAGGTCCCCCCGCCCCTCCCCCGTAAAACTGCACATTACAGAAAATGGATTTTGCAGAGCTACCCTCTCGCCTCCCCCGTTGTCCCTGCTTTCTTTCACCATGGAAACCAGTTATGAGTATCTTCCCGTTGATGTGGGACAAGACGTCAGAATCTTTTGCCCCGACCAACAGGCGGCAAAGGTAGCCACTTGTGTTTAATGATGATGTTGATGATGATGATAATAATAGTAGGCAAGGTACAAAGGAGTAGCACATTGAGGCAACGACATCATCTAAAGGGGAAACTGCCATGCCATTCCCATCTGGATGCCGACATCAGCCCAGAGGCTGACGCCCCCGCCCAGGATGAGTGCGCGAGGCTAGACAGATAGGAATGGCCCCATCAGGCCCCTTGCCCACTCTCCAATGAGGGAAGGCAGTCCTGACGTACTTTCCAAAACTCAGACGCGCACACCCATACCCTAGTGGGGAGGTCAATCGAAATGCACCTCAATGCTTCCCGGGCCACTGGTTTCTTAAGTCTTGGCCGGCGAGTCCGAAGTTGCTCCCTTCCCTGTCCCACCTGAGGCTGCCGCGTCCCTCCTCCCAAATAGGGGCTCTCCCCTCCTCTCTCTCCCGCCGCGCCGCTCCTGCGGCTGCTACTCTCACCATCGCAGTTGACCAGGATGATGGCCAGCATGTAGTCCTTGCCCAGCATAGCTGCCTCGCTCGCTCCGGAGGCAAGATGTTGTGCAACCCGGCGGGGAGGGAGGCAGCAGCGACGGTGCGGCAGAGGGTGGCTCCTAGTTTGGCCTCGCTGGGCGGAGCCGAGCCGAGCCGAGCCAAGGAGAGAAGGAGGAGCGGAGGGGGTTGAGGGTGATGACGCCAGCTTGCAATGTAGCTGGAGCCGGGCAGAGTTCAGTGGGACTTCTGCTCCCGTGAAGGAAGCCCAAGCTGGCAGCACCACCTACAGGCGAGAAGGCGCATTGATTTCTTCCGACCCTGCGGATTGCCGGGGGAAAGAAAGTAAAAGGCCGAACCAAACGTTGTCATTTGAGGTTTACGCTAATGCCACTTGAAAGCACGCCAAATCGGACAGAACAGCCTGGTGGGGCAGAGAAAGCGCTGAACTCAGAGCAATTCCAGTCCACCGACTCTCATTGGATATATTTGGGGAAGCCGCTCTCCCTTGGCCCCACCTGTGCATGTGCAAAGGGAAGCTGAGCAATTTCCGGCTAAAAAATGGCGGACGATAAGGTAGGCGAGCGTGTGGAAACGTCTTGTGCGCTCCGGGTTTTCACTCGCGCTCGGTCTTTCTTCCCTCATCCCTCAATGTGGCTGCCCATCTCCGCCGATAGCCGGTTTGGGAAGTATAATGCGAATAAATAAATCAATATAAAATAACGCGAATCCCCAAAGTTGATTTCTTTGATTCGATTTTTCACGGACTACCCGGACTCGGGTCCAAAGCCAGCTTCAAAAACAAGATGTCTACAAGAAATGTCAAGTTGTAGGTTGACCAATGCTATCGAACTCCATCTTGCATGTTTTTTGTCACTTAAAGCCAGAAACACTTAAGATTTTTGCTGCCCCGCGCAGAAACTCGTGGAGTTGGAATTCGTCGATCTTCATATAAATAAATCGTGATAGTCACGGAGCTGCCTTTTTTTTTTTTTACTTAAGCATGGAGGAACACATGGATCCTCATGATATCTTCATAATAATGTTTCACCTTAGGGGCATATCACAGATAGAGCTGATTTGTAGTTTAATAGTAAGCCTCGGAGGCAGACATTCTCTGTATTAATTCATATGATTCGCGAGAAACTATCCCAAAGTATTTATTTCTGCACCACCTTTTATTTATTCCTTAAATTTCATGGTGCCTTACAACCGAAAAATAAATATCTGACTGGCTCACAATATAGTGAACATACTAAACAGATAGGAATATAATACAGAAAATTAACAATAAAAAGCATATTTTAAAAAGGTTGGAATCTGTTACCCCTTTGGTTTTGATTTTGCATATGTTTTTTGTGGAACTCCAATATTAAAATTCAAGGAATTCATTAGGATTTGTCCGGAGAATCCATATTTTCTGTCATAGTTCCATGATGTACACAATGATGTAATAATATTTATAATTTGATGGTGATTTTGGAAAGACTATTGCTTTCAGTCTAGATAAGGGGTGTCAAACTTGATTTCATTGAGGGCCACATCAGGGTTGTGTTTGGCCTGTGTGTGTGTGGCCACCGTGGTTGTGGCCAGCAGGACATAACTCTGGGAGGGGCGCCCGTGGGATCCTGAGCTCCATTTTCGGCTGTGATGGCCTCCTGCAACCCTCTGCCAGTGAAAACAGAGCTGGGGGTGGGGGGCTTGTGAGCTCTGTTTTCGCTGGCAGAGGCACTGCGGGCTAGTCCTTCGTTTGTCACCCCTGGTCTAGACTATCCATCTACATGCATCTTTAATTAGCCAAATTTTATTATGACGGGTTATAAATATGTTTGATAGGTGCAACTGTGGCAGCTTTTCAATAGCTTTATGTTTCATCACTATCATGGTCTCAGTCTGTGTAGCTGTCTATGCAGCCTAATACAGATTCTCTCCCCGTCTCCCAGCAGATGTGCACAGGATTCAAGGGGGGAAAAATTTCAAAAACTATTCTTTTGAATGCAAGCTCTATTTCTGTTGTATGTACCTATGCTTGTACTCCTGTACAAAAGAAACAGAGCTTACAATGTGATTTATTTTTATCATTTTGATGAAGGGATCAATCCTATAGAATAGAATAATAAGATGATTTGTCTCCCCCATAGTTCTCGGCATGCTTTAATGGAAGCAGCATATTCCCATTTCTCCTAAGACCTAAGTACTTCAAACCTCCATCTTTGAACTATGAATAGGTAGGATATTAGTTGGGAGTTGAGACATAACAGGAAGGAGTGAATGGGAGTGCCTGTGTTAAGCTGTATATTTGAATGTAGGTCTCTACCCTAAGACCTGGTCATATACCTGATGCAAACCTTGGTAAACAAAAGTTGTCTGCTGCCGCCAGTAACTAATATTTGAAAAATAGTCCACTAAAGAATCCCTATTTCTTGCTCTGAAAAACATACAGTTAAACTGTGTTACGTGAATGTATAGTATTGTTTTTGATCTTAAGCTTTTGGAGAAAAGTCAGACACATTTAAAAAAAAGACCTAGTATCTTCCTGATGTAGTAATAGTGATAGTAGATTCACAAAGATATTGAAATAGATTGTGCATGCAATTTGGAATATGCTTCTTTGTTTCCAATATGTAGGATTCTCTGCCAAAATTGAAAGATCTTGCTTTTTTGAAGAATCAGTTGGAAAGTTTGAAACAAAAAGTTGAAAATGAAGTACAGGCTGGAGTGGGGCAGGTAAGAATGGAGTTGCTTTGTTTTCCAGTAAATGCCTTTCAGTTGCTACAGGATGCTTAAATATAAATGTCAACGAAGTATGATTGGCTGATTAACATCCTGTTAATATTCCATCAGAAATAAACTTCATAATTTGTCAACCATAGTAAACATACTATCAGCACCTACTTACCCACCCCCCAAAATAAAAATGGAGATTCAACTACTCGACAGCTCTTCATTTCCTTTAAATTGAGATTTACTGTATAGTTTATCTGTTAATGCACCACAATATTTGTTTAATGTATTCAACATAACTTCCTCCTCCTATTTTCCTCATAACAACAACCCTATGAGGTGAGTTGGGCTGACTGGCCCAAGATCACCCAACTAGTTTTCATGATTTTTAGGGCTATATAAAGAATGTATATTATGATTTATCCATTAATACATTATTAATGCAGTGGATTATGTTTGATTCAAATATACTGTAAATAGAAAACTCTTCTTGATCTCCAACAGAAATAGCTGAATTAAGTATTTGCTGATTAAAATTTAATTAAGGTTTTGAAATATAGAAAATAAAAGGACATCATGAAATAAGATCAATTGTCCAATTGTTTTCAATTCAAAGCAAATAGATTAGGACTAGAGAGTTCTACCGATCCACATAAAAGGTTTCTACAATTTCTCCACAATACCACATGCATATAAAGTTAAATTACTTTCTCTAAATTTAGCTGGTACGAAAAATGATGAAACAGGAGTATACCCGTTTTTTTACTAATAATCAATAATGATTCTGGAGATATTTGTGATCCAAAGGGCATGTCTAAAGGTCAACTATACAGCAAATAAATGGTCTTGTTTTAATATTAAAAAAATGAATCCAAGCTTCAAAATTCTTATATATGGAAATCTTTTAACTATCTCTCTCTCCTAAAAGTCAGTAGTTAGGTCCACTGCATGTAGTTTAAACAGTCCTATCATTAGGGAACAGTATATTAGTTGTTTAATGCCTCAATTAGTACTTGTCTTGCAACTGAAATCAATATATGTTTAGTTAGTAACATATTATTAGCTCTGAATTCTAGAGAAAATAAGTGAATTTTAGTTTTGCTCAGAGACTTTTTCTTTTTTCAACAGGATGGTTCTTGGCTGGCCTCTCCATTTGTCAAAGGATTTCTTGCTGGATTTGTTGTAGCCAAACTAAGATCTTCAGCAATCATGGGCTTTTTGGTGGGGAGTTGTACTGGAGTGTTTGCTGCTCAGACGTATGCAATTCCTGATGTCGAAAAGACAGTCAAAGACTATTTCAATTCATCCAGGAAAAGATCAAACTAGAAATGCAACAATATTCATGCAACAGTATACTCCAGGGGTATCAGCTTTTCATCTCTTTCAGTTCTACATAGGTCAAAACATTTAGCTCCACTTTAGACATACTTATTAATTGGAAAAGTATTTTATAATGGACAAATAATAACATTTCAGCAGGTCTGCTTTTTAAGGTTCACAGTTCTAGAATGAAACTGATGCTGCTTGCTTCAACTGTCCTGGTCAGATGAGAGCCTGGGTTTGGATAGCAAGGCAGTTTCTTTAATGGAGCAAAAAGCAACTGATACGGCACGCCTGCTATAAATGTGCCCATGCCAGGAAACACAGTGTGAGATACCAGCTTTCTCCTGATCATGTATTTATATAATACTGACATGCATTTCTTTCCTTTCCTGATTTTGCTGATTTGAGTCCTTATTTGTGCAAGCATCTACTTGCCACAAAGATAATGTAGATTTCTTCTTTAAAAAACAAAAGGTGCTTTTTTCCCTTTTCTCGATGCATCCTGAAAAATTATCACTAAATACTAGAAAATTATCACTAAATACAACTTCTTGCTGTTGTATTTTTGGTATTGTGGGTACTGCTGATCCTATTATCTCTAGTTGCTTTATACTATGTTTTAAAATTTTAATGGCTAGAATCTTTGCCATCTCTATTTTACTTTTAATTGCTTTAAATAAATGATTGGTATTCTAATTCTTCCTGCACCAAAAAGACTGACTCAGCATAGGCAACCTGCAAGGCTGGAAACTCTCGGTGCCCTCTGTATGACCTGCCTTTGACAGATGGCTACAGTTTAACCTTTCTTGACCTCAGTTAAGCTTTCTAGGTCCCATACTTTTGGATATTTTAGTTATCTGTAGTAAAACTACTGAAGACACAAGATCTTAATGAATCTCCAAAATCACTTTTTTTTCATGTATTTGTTTACTTGTAAAACTACCTTTTACTTAGGAGCTCAAGGCAGTAGACAATGCTCCCCTCTTTTCCTCCATAACAATTCTATGGGCTACATCAGAGTGACTGCCCCAAAGTCTTCTGATGAACTGCTTTAATCAGATTTCCACCATTACACTATACACTAAAACAGGGGTCTTTAAACTTGCCATTCTTTAAGACTTGTGGACTTCAACTCCCAGAATTCCTCCTCCAGTCATGTTAACTCAGGAATTCTGGGAGTTGAAATCTACAAGTCTTAAACTGGCCAAGTTTGAAGACTCTTGCACTAAACATACTTTTTGTTGTTGTTGTTTTACTGTGAATGTGGTAATTCATCTGTCAAGAAACTAAGCAACTGGATTCCTAGGAGGTCTCATTTGAGTATATTTATTATATATTAAACCTTTCCACTAAATAATGTATGTGTGTATGGACTGTCATAACTGGGTTGCAACACACACACACACACACATAGCCAATAGATGACGGCAAAGATTTGTTGACTTCTTGCACTGAAAGAAAATATTTCTCTCTGAAATATAGCTGTAGATACATAGAGCTACTGTATCTAAGTTGTAAAATATGGATGAACCCTGGATGGCAGCAAATTTTGTGCAAGATATTGAATCAAGTCTTTTCAGATAGTTCAAAGCATATTGTGGGAAGAAAAGGCCGAAATAAAGTATCAGATTTTATGTAATTCAGTTATATTTCATACAAGACCCTCTGCTAGATACAGGGTGCGTGATCTGTGGTGGTCCAAAGTGGCATAGGAATGTATGCCCTCTCTTTCGTGTACACTTTGACAGTTTCCTGAAGATATTGATCCACACCTTCACAAAGCTCTTATACCTCAACAAGTACTGTATTACACATTACAGTTTTCTCTTGTAAACTATACTGTCTTAGGAAAATGGACATATCATGTAATGTTGCTCAAACGATTATGTACCTTCACTGTGTGTGTGTGTGTGTGTGTGTGTGTGTTTATATACACACACACACAGGCACTCCTTCAGTTTCTTACGAACACGTGTGTGTATGCACATGTGCATGTATGTGTATGTGTATATGCATGGCTTTTGGCCATAAATAATAATTATTGATACACAGTATATAAAAATGACTATGAATTGAATGGTTTATCATAAAGTATAATCCCTCTCTAAGGTAACAGTTTTACCTTAGACTACCAATTAAGTTCTGTTTCAATCTTTAATCTTATTTCCCTGATGATAAAAGCAGATTCTTGTATAGAAGCCTATTATTTTTCCGTATGGGGTAAAAGTGCCTGGAACTACTTTGTCTGTCAGATCTTCATTCCAGAAGACATTAAGAGATTGTTTTGTTTTACTGCGTAGTCATGATTTTGAAAAATCTATTATGATAGTAAGAAAGTGGGACCTTAGAAAGCAATCTTCCATTTTCTGGCTACCTAATGGCTAGATTTCTGAATCTTGGGAAGGGAAATATGTATGTTTTTTTTATGAGTAGTACTAGAATATTGTCTCCAAGATGTCCATCTCTATTCCTGCAGCTTTTTTTTTATCATACTCGGAGTTGTGTTGGAAGATGATAGGCTCACCCAAGTGCCAGTTAATCACTCTGATGCGAATATTTGAATGTTATTCTTTTCTAAAGATTCGCTCTAACACAAATATCTTATAAACATTAAGGTGATTAAGTGCCTTTTGCAAGCTGGTTTTGTTATTCTGTATTTTTTGCTTTTATAAAGAATATATTGCTCCCATATACTTCCCAAGAATAGATACAACACAAGCAACAACCAAATGCAGTTCTTTTCTGTTCCATAAAGTTTGCCTAATTTTTCTTTCCTGGGTTTGATAAATATTTAGCAAGTTTAAGACCACAGGTTTAAGTGCTTGCTTTTCCAAATGATGTTCAAAAAAGTTTTCATTTAAATTCAATTCTTTATCGTTGCCTCGTAGAATGTAGTCATATTTTATATTCTTTTTTTTTGGCCAAGTAGTTTTGAAACTTTCTCAAATTATTTCTTATAATTTTGAGTATGTAATTCTGATATCAGACAATAATTAGAAATAAGGCTATACAGTATTGCCATATATTCTCTCCAGGTGCCATGTGTATATTTCCAAAATAAAGTATATTTCTTTCTTTATAAATACTTGATTTATCTAGAGCATTCTTGATCTCTGATAAACTTATCAAAAAGGATTTTTTTTTTCACAACTGTTTTCACATGTATGGAATTTCACTTCTAGGGTTTTTAAAAAACTTGTTAGGTTTAAACATGGTTTGGGTCAGTGTCAAAGTTGTATCACCAAACAATATCTAAACTCTATGAATATGAAAATATTTATTGTTTGAATTGTATTTTTCTTCATTTGTTATAAACTTAGGAAACTATTAAGAATTTTGTAAAATAATGATGTGAAATTTTATCAAGGAATGGTTAATAACAATGGGGTTCTTTTATCACCCAGTACTATTTGCTTAGCTTCAAAAGTTATCTAAAATTTTGGAATGATGAAGCAAACCTGCTATCTATCAAATGCACTAGTGGAAGTCAACAGCCCCATGATATTTACTTGCATGATTACCTAAAATAGTGTTCTCAACCTCAGCAACTTTAGGATGTGTGGACTTAAGCTCCCAGAATTCCCCCAGCCAATGTACCCACTGAATTACATATATATTAAAAGATGCCAAGTTTGAAAATACTGATTTAGTCTCTAAATACAATATTTCCCTTAGTACATGGGCTCCACAGTGGATGGACCTGGACCAAATCAGTCCCCATCACTTAGTATCGGGTCCTCTTTTGCGTATCAATATAAATAAAACTAATATCCTCTCATTTAAATGGCACCATTGTTTTGAAATCTCTTTTTTTTTCTGTAGCACAAACCAGTTTAAACTCTCCTTTTGTTAAGCATGGAGCAGAGAGAGAGAGTTATAATTATCCTACTATGTTATAATTATCCCTCCTACCAGTTGAGTGCTATGTTACTTGAAATGTTTTTTACCCCTGACAATGGAGATCCTTTAAGGAGAGTGGCAGACTGAAGTGAGCAATGGTCAAGCAATGGGTTAAAAGCAAGGAGGCCACACCTACTTCTATTGCTCCTCTCTGGGAAAGTATCAGTGCAAGCCAACAACATTTTCATCTCTGTAAGTCCACCCATTAATATTGCACCATGTTAGCCAACAAATCAGGCTATTCGCTTTTTGTAAGCCTCTGCAGATCTAGTTGTTACCCCAGGGGTTCAGGCCAGTAGGTTAGGCTAACCTTATTAGTATGCTTTTTATGAGGAAGACGTTATTCTCCAGGTGCATGGATTATTTCTTTCATTGTCTAATCTTGGTATATTGTTCATAGTCACTTCTGAGATGGTTAGCTATATAAATTAATGCATGGGTAGGAAGTGTGTGTGGGTGCGTAAGAATTGCAGCATGGGTCAGGGAAGGTACACAGGGATGCAGGTGGGGAGAGGCAGTGCAGATCAGGGAAGATGTGTGTCGGTGCTCAAGAAGTATCTGGGTCAGGGAAGGCATGCAGCAAGATGGCACAGGTTGGTAGAGTGCATGGGGAATGGCATGGGCCAGGAAGGGTGTGTGGAGGTTCTTTCCTTCCCCTTCCCTTCCCAGCAAGCAGGTAAGTGGCTGCTGCTGGATAGAGGAGGGAGCAAGGAATTACAAAACTGGTTGGGAACTGTGACAGAACTTTGGAAATGAAGATCATGTGATAGCAGCCGGCGGCGGCAGTAATATTGAAGTATTCACAACTTCTCCAACTTTCATTCCCTCAAGTGCCCTGGATCCCAGATTTAGACCATTTGAGATACCTTGGTTCAAAAATCATCCTATGTTGCACCATTTTGTCCAATTAAAGGTCATTAAAACTAGAGTTTTAGTAATCTTTAGATTTGAATAACTAAAGAAATAGAGTTCTCTTCCTTGTTCCCTTGGTTTTGGGAGTTTTGTGGCAGACTGTCATTTTTACCCGTTCATTCTGTAGCGAGTACTGCTCATCCACATAGACCTTGACATGTTTATCTGGGCTCTCTCTTCCTGACTCCAGGATTGAAGTTGTGGGAAGCATTGGCTACCTTCTGCAATGCTGCGGCCCATGCTATCTTTGCTGCCGTCTCCTGTAGTCGTTCGAGTAACTCCAGTTTGGCCTAAGCTTTTGCCATTTCTTCCTGTTGACTGGTCTGAACTTTGGCCATTTCTGCCGCCGTAGCTACTACCGCCTCCTCTGTTGCACATAGTTCTGCCTTTGCTACCGGGGCTTCAACTTGAGCTTCTGCAGCTCAGTTGGCAAAATTCACTGCTCTTGAGTGACGCATAGCTACGACGGGAGGATGCTCTGGAATGATTGGAAGAGCTAGCAGCAGAAAATTGCTGTGATACGCTGGAACCTGCCTGAGATCTGGTTGGCTTGGGATGGAGGGTGGCAACTTTCTTAGAATGACGGGTTACTTTGCGTGTGACCTTCTCCCTCAACATTTCCTCCACCTGGAACACGGCATGGAGCATTGCGTGGAGAGAGTTCTCACACTCCTTTTTCAACATCTCGAAGTATTGTATGTGCTCTTGGAGCTTTGAGTCACACAGCTTTGGACGGATTTGAGGCCACGTTCGTTGTCTTTCCATCGTGCGAGAAGCTTGTTTTTCAATCAGCGGATGCGCTTGAGGGAAAGCTTGCATTTGGGTGCATCGCAGATCTTCAGCAACTCTGCCCATGAATCTATATAACATCAATACTGTCTGTCCCACTCATCCATCAAGTGTAACTGCATGACCTCGGTAAGCTTTCTTTGCTATCTGAAATTGTAGACTTTCTGAGGTACCTCTGCCTCTTCTGAATTTTGGAGAGCCAACTCTGGGTCTTGGATGTCAAATTCTAAATTTGTGTCGAGGTTAGGTAGAGGGTTTGGTTTTTCCGGTACATCAGAGACATCTGCAATGACTGGAGACGATGCCATACCTTCAGATTAGCAAAGGGAATTTTTGTTTTCTGTGCAATTACCCTTTTTGCCACTAAGAGGGGTTGCAAGCGGGTAGCTGAAGTTTAAAAATGTTGTTGAAATTCACTACTTAACCACTGGAGTGTGATGCAAGCAGGTAGCTGAATTTAGAAGACATCTTTGCAATTCGCTACTTAACCACTGGGGTGCATTACAAGCGGGTAGGTGAATTTAGAATAGTGGTTGCCAACCAGTGGGCCAGGGACCACTGGTGGTCTGCAAGAAAATTTTGGTGGTCCGTAGAGAAATGTCACCCCTAAAGCACCCCACAAAGCAATTAATCCAGGCTGCGTAGAAAACAAGACTGCACTGCCCAAATGGCCCGTGGTAACACAAGGCTTGCGTTGCTTGCATTGCAAACATCTTTCTGCTTTGGTCTTCTTCTGTTTTTGGCTGCATGCAAGGAAAGCAGCAAAAGTCTGTCTTTCTTTCCCCCAAACTCTGCCAGAAATGAATCTTTGGGACCCTGCAAAGCCTCCTGATCCAAGAGGCTGCGCCAGTGCGATAAGTCTCACAAAGTCTCATTTCTGGTGGAGTTTGGGGGAGAGAAAGAAAGACTTCTTCTGCTTCTGTTGCTTTCCTTGCATGAAGCCAAAAGTCTCTCTCCCCCCTCTCCCCCCCAGAATGGAGCTGGAGATGGTATCCTGTGATCCCAAATAATGATCGATTGGTAGGAAAACGGGGTGGGGAATTTTCCTGTAGACTTTTGGGGGGATTCTCTCAGGGTCTCTGGTTCACGGGATTTAAAATTATGAGTTTGGTGGTCCCTGAGGTCCAAAAGGTTGGGGACCCCTGATTTAGAAGACATTGTTGCAATTCTTTACTTAACCACTGGGGTGCATTGCAACTTAGACTAAGCTTGGAGTAAACTGGGCTTTTGGCATTTTCCCTTTCATAGGGCTTGAGCTGACTTTCCAGTTCTGAGGTTCCCAGCTTGGACTGAATGCTTGCAAACTCTGAGGGCTTGACTAAAGAAGAGAGCCTCTGCAATGATTCTTTAATTTGGCTGGGTTTCCATTTCTCAGGTTGGCTTGTGCATGCAGAGTTAGATAACCCAGCCAGTAGTATTTATGGCTGGTTGCTATGGGGACCAGTGTCATAAATTCCAAGGCAACCAGGGAGAGGTTCCTTTTATGGCCCCTCCTTCTATGGGTGAAGGAAGCTCTCAAAGTATCACATTTAAAAGGTCGCGGGGAGAGAGCCAGAAAAGATGCAGTCATCTGTTTGCTAAACTAATCCTCTTCCTGCCTCGTTCAATAGAGGGAGATAACGGCCCCTCCCTGTATCAAATGGATTGAATCAGCTTCTTTCACCGGCAAATAGTTTCTCAAGGTAATTAACATGCTTGTTCTTGGTCCCAGGCAGCAAATTCAAGCCTGAAGAGAGAGACAGAGGGAGGGAGAGGGAGGAGGGAGGGAAATACGGATCTATTATTTATTTGCTTCACCCAAATGGATCCCTCCAAGAATAGTATTGCATACTTCTCGTTACAAACAGTTTACCTCGCTAGCTGACACGTAATCAAGAATGCTCCTCATCCAATCAGAAGACTGACCCGGTGGTCAATCAGAGGTACAGATGTGACCACGTGATAAAGAACTACATTTCCCAGCAGGCAAAGCCTTAAAGAGATAGCACCTAATTTCTAAGCTAAATATACACTCCAGCCAGCACAGCTACAGTTTCTATTCGTCCAGTCTCGGGTTTTCGAGCATGATGGCTGCTTCGGTACCTGGAATGGCTGGTCCGAAAAGCTGGAAGAGAAGTTGTTACCGGTCGCATGGATGCAGTGTTGAGCACCTGAGAACTTGGCAGAGAGAGAAAGAAGCAGGTAACTGTGTTTCTAATTTCCTTATTTAGTTTTGAACTGAGGCAATTCATTATTTTTTATCCCACTTAATGTATGTTGTCATTTTAGCATGATTCCGTCCAAACTTTAACTTAGATAATATGAAAAAAAAAATAGTCAAACTTAATGTGTAATCTTGTATAACAGCATTAAACCATTCTTTTCTCTCTTCCTTTTATACAAGGGCACTTTGATAATTTTAACAATTTTGTTACAGCTCTGAGAAGTGCACGGAGGCTAAAACAGTTGTTCAGTAAGCGGCGTTTATGTGAAGACAAGTCATCCGATGGAGAAGTTGAAATGGATGGTGAGACAGCAGCTCTTTTGTCAGAGGAAGAGGTAAGATATACGTCACTAAATAAATTGGAATTCACTGCAGTATATTCAGTTCCAGTCTTTGGGTTATTAACTTTCTGGAAACTTACCTGCCCTCCCTTCAGCCTTCTTAAAGAGTGATTGATTATATCAGATGCAATCTTGAGTCAGTGTCAATATCTGTGTAAGCTGCCTTGAGTTGGGTAGGTGGCAATATAACATTTTCTAAATTAAAATAAATAAAATTAAAATTAATGACTACATAGATAAACCTTCTCCAGGACGATGTGTCCTCCACCTGGACCTACAAGTCTTCCAACAATGCACACATCATTGCTACAATCAAGTCTGCTCCCCTTGCTTCTCTTTCTTTTCACCATTACCAGCGTTGTTATGTTTGTTAAGTGAGTTTTGCCCCATTTTTAGATCTTTTTTGCCACAATTGTTAAGTGAATCACTGCAGTTGTTAAGTTAGTAACATGGTTGTTAAGTGAATCTGGCTTCTCCACTGATTTTGCTGGTCAGAAAGTCTCAAAAGGGATCACATGAACCCTGGGACACTGCAACAGTCATAAATACGAGTCAGTTGCCAAGCA